CCACAGGCAATTTTTCCAAGACCCAAGCAAGACTACTCTTTCTTGCACCAAATTACTGAACCTTCCTTTCATAAAAATATACCAGTCTTTTGATCCCTCAAACTTTTACTTTTTTACTTGGTAATAATTCTATCTTTTATATAAGCTACTGATAAAGTTCTCTTTTTAATACTTTCTATATTACACGTCCAATTTAACAATGGCCTCATTGCCTTAATAATTGTATGGACCCTGACAAGTTCTATTAAAGAGTGTTGGGGCACTGAGAAATATGAGCTTTAGTTTTTCCCCACTTATATGACCTGGGACAAGTTACTAGATCATCTGGCAGCTCAATATGATCACCACAAACTTAGAGTAGTATTAGTTCAAAGTTGTCAAGCCTAAGAAATAAATCATAGGAATTGCAAAAGTCAGAGATGATTGATATTAAGTATGTAAAAATGCTTATCAGTTAAAAAGTACCATATAAATATGTGCTGTCATTATCATTATTACTATTATCATTATAGTTAGTTGTATATATCTCCTCAAATATATAAAGCTTTTCAGAAGAAAAATGACCAGAAAATAAAAATTCCAGGCTTTTTATAAAACCTTTTCTTATAGGAGTCCTTTGCATTTTTCTTCTAATGAAAATTAATTAATGATCAGTTACATAAAGTCTTAAGGGAGTCAGCTCATCAGCCTAAGGGCCCATCAGGAGATGAGTGCATACAAAAGCTGTGGTACTTTTACACATGGAATACTATAATACTTAGCCATAAAACAGGAAGGAAATCTTACCTTTTGTGACATCATGGAAGCATTTGGAGAGCATAATGCTAACTGAAATAAGCCAGTCAGGGAAAGACAAAGACCATATGATTTCACTCATAGATGTAATCTAATAAACAAAATAAACTAACAAACAAAATAGAAGCAAACTCGTAGATACAGAGAACAGACTGACAGCTGTCAGAGGAAGGGCCATTGGGGGCTGGATTTGAAAAAGGTAAAGGGATTAAGACAAACACCTCAAAAAACTCATAAACACAGACAATTTTGCAAATTCCCCAAAACATACTTCTATAATATACCCGAGGACTGTATTTTTGTAAATCAAGAAAATTGTGGCTTTATATAGATATGGATGAAGAATTAAAACAAAACTTTTATGGTGATTAGCAGAGTTTGGGAAAGGGGATAGGGGAAGAAATAAGAGGGTAAAGGAGAAATAAGTGGTGATAAGAGATGACTTGATTTGGGGTAATGAACACACAATATACAGCTGATGTATAATAGAATTGTACATAATTTTATTAACTAATGTCATCCCAATCAGTTCAAGAAAAAAGAAAAAAGAGAGTCAGCTTTTGTGAGGCTGGTTAGTGCTGGCAAATTAATAAAATAAATAGCAGATTTACAAAGAAAAAAGAAAAAGTCAGTAAGATACTTAATGTCAAATATATTTCTTAATTATCCTTTTATTTTCTTATTATGCTCATATGCTTGTTTTACAGAAAACAATATAGAATTTTTAAGAATGCCATAAGAACTGTGAAACTAAAATGTCATTGCTATAAGCTTTTGGCTCACTGATCTAAAAATATAAATACAACATTTATGAACTAAAAGATTATAATCAATAGCTGCTTGGTATTTTCTTCCTAAGATTTTCCTTTTGTTGATTCATTTTTCACAAATAGATTTAGCTAGCAAATTCAGCTTTAATCTTCACAGCTGTGATTATGTTAAGAGACATTCCAGAACACAGAAGGAAGAAGGGAAGAGGGAAATTCCAAAAGAATAACTTGCTTATTAGGGAAACGATAAAAATCTAAACTAAATGTTGCCTTTACTTCACTCAAATATTCACAAAATATTCATGAAGTATTTTAAACACAGGTGAAGCCACTGGGGAAAATTTTTCAAAATCCTGCTACCCACTTATTAATATCCAATACCCAACATGGAAAGTTAGCAAATAGAGACAGCATGGGTTGAAATTACTCTAAATGGTTTACAACATTTGTGGCATGTTTATATTTTGAAATATATGACTCAAAATTTGCTATAAAATATACTGCATTCCTTAAAATAATAAAGGAAAAAGTTGTTTTGTTTCAATTCTCCATTCATATCTATATAAAGCCACAATTTTCTTCTTGATTTACAAAAATACAGTCCTCAGAAATATTATACAAGTATGTTTTTGGGAATTTTCAACTAAAACATCATCAATCTGACATAAATTTTTTAAAATCCATGTTTTCTCTACAATAAAAGCAGCTACCACCTAGAAATTATGTTCAGGATCCTGATATTAATTTACACAAGTACAGTTTTTATTCCACATATTTCAAAAAAGAATTAGAGTTAATTTGACTAAATAGAATTATAGACTTTTCAAGAATTCAAAGTCTAATCATTGATAAATGAAAACAAGTAACATTGACTTAGATCAAACGTCTGCATGGGAGAGCACTGTGTGAACACTATGAAAAGAAAGCAGAAAATCTTTTAAGAGCCAGTTTGTAATAACTCAAGACAATTTTGACCAAAAAAGCTAACTTTTCTTTTTCCCCCTTTTGGGTTGGTAGGTATTATTAAGTAAGTCAAATACTTTAAATACAATAGATATACCTGAATTTTAGAAAGTGATTAGAAAAAGAATCTAACTGTATCCTTTTAGATATGAGGCAGATAGGTACATGGGCTTTGGTAGAATTCACAGATAATAACACAAATCTTTGTCAAAAGTGATGAATGACAGATTATTCATTATTATCATCATGAGATTATGGAGACATACTGACGTTTATAAATGTCAGAAAGTTCCTTTAAGAAAAACGCTATTACAACCCCAGGACATACTCCAAAGATAATATTTGCATCCAGTATGTATCCATTATACTCTCTGATGTGGGAACATTATTGGAACCCTGGGTTTGGTTGTGGCATAACTCCCACGATACAAGGGAATTGGCAAGCAAGAATATGTCCAGGGAAAGAATCAAAGGTGCTGAAATCTTTGCAAACTACACAATATAAGTACTTGTTGAAAGAACAGATTGTGTTTTGGCTGAAAAAGTCTCAAACAGGACATCCTGTTTCCAGTAAGTGGAGATTAGTTAAGAGGAAGGTTGGGACGCAGGCTATTGCCCAAGGAACAGAATGGAAATCAATGGTTACAAGTGGTTGTGAGGAATATATAAGAGTATCTAACAAACAGGATTAAACTCCTAAAAAACAACAACACAGGAAAGCACCAGGGATAGGCAGCAGAAGGGAAACTGACTAGTGCTCCACTCCTGACCTTTTCACTCTTTTAGCTTTGGGAGCTCAGTGCTGTTACTAAGCTCCTCTGACTTTCTGCTTCCTTTTCTATAAAATGGGCATCCTTACCTCCCATGAAAGTGGCTAAGCAGTTCAGAATACTGAGACAAGGAAGAGGAAAGGCTGAACTTGATGGCTGCCATGGTTCTTTCAATTTCTAAGGCTCATATATTTTTCATCTCATGATGAGAAATTATTGATAAAAATTTCATTTATTCAATATATACTAGTATGTATTGTATATCTACTTTGGGTAGGCACTATGCTAGAGATACAAAAATGAAAAAAAAAATGCACAATAATTTTTGCCTGCATAGACCTTATGGGAAGAAAATAAACCATAAGCAAAATAAGTATACATACAATAGTATATATGTTAGGAGATAACTACTATATGAAATAACAAAGAAAACAAATTTGAAGTTTTAAATAGGATCCTTGGAAACTTCAAAGATATATTAAGTTCATCGGTAATTTAAAAATATTTTTATTATATAAATTCCATTAGAAAATGTGGTGCCCTCAATCAAATCTTTCGATCCAAGCAATGTTCCAAATACTGTAATCTCATCAGAGAGTGTTATGTCTCCCCAAATTCATATACTGACATCCTAACCTCCAGTTCTTCAGAATCTGACTATATTTGAGACAAAGTTTTAAAGAGGTAATTGAGTTAATTGAGATCATTAGGATAGGTCTTAATCCAATATGACTAGTGTTATTAAAGGAAGAGGAGATCGGGACCTAGACATGGGCAGAGGGATGATGATGTGAAGATACAGGGAGATGACCACCTGCAAGCGGAGAAGCCTCAGGAAAAATCAAATCTGCTAACACTCGGATCTGCCTCCAGAACTGTGAAACAATAAAATTCTGCTATTTAAGCCACCCAGTCTGTGGTGCTTTGTTACGGCAGCCCCAGCAAACAAATACGGAGAACATTGTGGCATGTAAACCCAGTCTAAATATTAAGTTCAGGATAGCGCAATATTGCACAGTCATTTTGATGATAACTCAGAATCTTTTATAAACCTTATATTTAGAATTTACATGTATATTTCAGTATTCCTGTATTTATTCTTTTAACAGTATATTGCATTGAAAATTTTACGCTTATTGGTTTCCTTCCAATATACTCTATTGAAAAGAGATGTTTAACAAAAATATCACAAGGACTTCATAACTAATAATAGCATGCTTGTGTTATATGTGAACATTCAGGATATGCAAAACAGTTATTTTTCTATTAAGATAGATATAAACTTGTTAAAGTTTAAGATGGCAACTCATATCTTAGAGAATACTCATGTGCACAAATGGGTATTAATACCAGGATTTAGTTTCTCCCACCTCATTTGAATCTTCTTCCTTAATTGCAGCCTTGCTGTATACCTGCAATCAAGCTGGCCCCTTACTGATATAAGCACTCTGCATGGCTATGAGGGACACAGTGGGTATACATATGCGCCAGGGGGGTGGGGGGATGGGAGGTTGGGAGAAGATGAAAAAAAGGAGACATATGTACTACTATCTGTAATACTTTAAACAATAAAAATTAAATAAAATATTCTTTAATTTGAAGATATTGTTTCCTATTCCTTTCTACTTCTTTTAGATTTTCCTATCAATGAGATAAATTAGTTTTAGAGAGTAAAAAAAAAAAATCAAGTGAATATACTTACAGGTCCTGTTAATTTAGATGCTATTTCCAATTCTCCACCCTCCTCCATTAGTGCTTCTTCAGTCCCAGGTAAAGAATCTATTTTTTACCAAAAGAATGAATAAGTTACCGTCACATATTGGTTAAATTTGATATACAAGCCTATTACAAGGATATTAAAGTGACTAATCTGGTTGTTGAAAAAAATTACAGTGTTTTTGAGTTAGAGTGTAAAATATTGTTTATTCAGCTGAAAGACAACCTATGAAAAATGTTAAGGATGTTTAATGTAGGAGGACACAATGAAGCTAGGAATGGAATGTGCAAGAGCTGCTGCTATCTTGGAGAAGGCAAAACTTTCTTCTAGCATTTCATTCAGCTAATTATTAGGACTTTAATGTTTGTTTTTTTCCGGTTTGTAATTTTATATTTATTTGTTTTACCTATCAACTATCTTCTTTTTTTCTTTATTGGCCACACAATATAATTACCATTTTGTGTTCTTTCTCTTAAATGGGATAGGAAATCCTGAAAAGTTTGGAGAAGAGTGCATATTATTAAATGATGGAAAATTTTCCATTTTAATGTATTAAGCAATAAGTTGTGATTTTTTATCTTGAATAGATTGAGGAGTGAATGAGTAGTGACTTTCAAATATGTGAATAAAATTATGACAACCCTTTCCATATGTCTGCTGAGTTAAATTAATTATGATGACAAGGATTTATATGGGTTATAAAAAATTTTGTACTAAGGACAGATATATAGAGAATCTAGGAATATTCCGTGCTTTAATACCTTCTATTCAAATAAAATAAAATTGGTAAAGGGGAAAAATCTTAAACAAGTGGAGAGTTCTAAAATTGATTTCTTATAATTATTAATATTTGAAAGCATCATATAAATCCCTAAAAATTTTCCTTTAGATTCATGTAAATTTGGAGACAGGTTTTTCTGTTAATAAAATGTGTGCTCAGGGAAGAAAATGGGAGCGTTAAATCTTTCAAGCCCTTATCAGCCCCTCAAGGCCAGGGAGACAATGGAAAGCTTAGCATAAAGCCATAATTATAGTTTCTGATTCAGAATTTACATTCAATAACCACCACATCCTCAAGTTGTAAGCAAATTTAAAAATTTTACCTACCACCTTTCCAAACAGACATTAAAAAGAAGGAAATTTTTGTTGACAAAATCAAGACAGATGATGAGAATTACACCAAGTTCAAAAATATTAATGCACTAATGACGAATACTTGAACCCCTATTTACTAAAACTCAGTTGATAAGAGTGACAATGTATAGACTCTTTATATAAGGATATACAAATTAGCATAATTTTAAAGCCTCTAAAATTGAATTATAATCTACTGAACTGTGAGTAAATACTAGTGTAATTTTAGTATTTACTCTATTTTCCCATTTTATTTGTGTTGAAACTCAGAATATTAACAATAAGTAATATTATAATGTTCAATTATCCATTACAAAGCAAATTATTTCATATATAGGAGAAGAAAGCCAACTTTCTAATGGATTTGATTTTTTTAAGGTTAGAAATATTACATTATAACTGAGTTTTCAAGTTATCAGTCAGTAATTCATAATTTTAAAGAGGTATTGTCATTCTGAGTGATTTTTAATGCATGTGTGTATTAGTCAATTCATTCAACTATTTCTGTGTGCTTGTATATTCATTTATTCAATAGTACTATAACTCACTAGGGACTCTCTAGTAGGTGCTTCATAACAAAATAATTTTTTATGAGGAGTGAATTCTGTTCTGTTCTTGTTTGGGTTGAATTCTTCCTGGTACAATATCTAGTAGGATAAAAAAAAATATGATGAATTTGGCCAGCCAATGTGACTCAGTGGTTGAGAGTTGACCAAGGGACCAAGAGATCATGGGTTTGATTCCCAGTCAGGGCATTTGCCTAGGTTGCAGGCTCAATCCCCAATATGGCATGCAGGAGGCAGATGATCGATAATGTTTTTCTTTCTTCAACGTTTCTCTCTTTCTATTCTTCTCTCTCTAAAAAAGAAAATCAATTAAAAAAAAAAACCAACATTTAAAAACATGATAAATTTCATTCAGTGTAGTGTAAGGCAACTGTGAGGTTCCACCAGGATATTTTTGTTTCAACCATCAGAATATTTTTGAATTTACATTCTGATAGGGACAATATATATCCTAAAAATAAAATCTTAGTTTCATGCTCGGAGTTCCATTTTTAAAAGTATTTTAGAAAATTGCTGATTAACAATAATTGGTGTGGGATAGAATCCAAGATGGCTACACAGGTAAAAACCTAGCCACAGACGCACACAACAATTTCAATAAAATACAACTAAAATACCCAGAATTACAGGAAAGTCGACTGACTGGAAATTCTACACTGAGAAGCAAGGAGAAAACCAGAAGGAAGAGCAGAGGAGCTGTAAAAGCCTAAGGTACAGAGACACACTGCGCACGCGGAGAGGACGGAGCCGGAGAGGAGGGGCGGCTGAGTGTCTGGCTGGCAGGAAGGAGATAAACGCTCCGACTGTGCTGGGCCCCAGTTCCGACTGCTCTGAACCCCAGTTCTAGGCCAGACCCCGGAGACCCAGGCTCATCCAGAGGAAGCTGGGCTGTAAGGTGGGACCCCGGGGAAGCGGCAAAAGGAGGTCCCGGAGACTCGCACATTGCTCGCAGAGAAGGGATGGTCGGCTGTGCTGCGGGATTGCCCTGGCGGGAAGGAGACAGGGGCTCCAGACTGCTCTGAACGCCACCTCCAATCCCACTTCCAACTGAACTGAACCCCAATACCGGGCTCATTGGGGGAGAGCCTAGTCTGTTTGGTAATAGGCGAAAATCGAAGGCACCTTTCTCTAAGAGGCGCTTGCAGAGAGTACTGAAGGACCCTGAGACTCAGGAGCCGCATAGGGCGGGGCTGACAGAAGCCAAGGCTGTAGGCTCCACCCTGAAATTCCGCCCCATCAGGGAAGCTGTGAAAATGCAGAGATGAAATAGATCACAAACGAAAGAAGTGGAGGACAAAAAGCGACTGGATATAGAGTTCAAATCTACGCTTATAAGGTTTTTCAAGAATTTCCTAGAAAAGATCGATAAGACCTATGAGGATATGAAAAGGGATCAACTAGAATTAATAAGGAATCAACAAGAAATAAAGAATACATTGTCTGAAATAAAAAATATTATACAGAGTCCTAAAAACAGAATGGAAGATCGCAAGAATCAAGTCAAGATTTGGAACATAAAGAGCCAGAAGACACTCCTCCGCAGAAGCAAGAAGGCAAGAGAATTCAGAAAATTGAAGATAATGTAAGAAACCTCTGGGACAACTTCAAGTGAACCAACATTAGAATTATGAGGGTCCCAGAAGATGAGAGAGAGCAAGATATCAAAAATATACTGAAAGAAATAATGAAAAAAAATTTCCCCCCCTATTGTTTCTCTTTTAACTATCCCAGCTGGATGTCCAACTGCTTCCTCTAAAATACGGGATGATGAAGCAGTGATGTACCTTTAAGGCAGTTGTAGTGACATTACACGTGCTTATTTATTCAGCAACCATTTTGAAGTGCCCTGCTGTGAACTGCATATGCTAAGCTGAGAAGTTTGAATTTTGTAGTATAAAAAACGAAGGTGATCTAAGCAGCTTTCTTAAAAAAAAAAAAAAAGATAATGAGCTAAAGAGGGGTGAGACAAACAAGGCTGTTAAACTAGACAAAGAGGACAAACACACAGACCAGGAGCATCAGAGAAAATGAAGAGGAGGCTGGCTGGGAAAGAAAGGCAATTCTGAAGTGACATTGACATGATTTGAGAACAATTCAATATAAGGAGGAGAGAGGGAACAAAATCATGTATAATATTGACACTTCTGCCAGGGAAGAGTAAAGGGATGTATTTATTAAATAATCAAAATATTCAACTATTTTATACCTTTGCTTTTGTATGCCCCAATGGAATCACGTAATAATTTGCATTTGACTTTTGCATATTCAAACACATGCATGTCTTTCTCTACCTTTTGTGTAATAATACATATTATAAATTATATTTTCATTTGTATTTCTATATTAAGTTCTACATTTTTCTATATATAATATACACTTATCCTTACATATATTCCCTTTTATATAATACACAAACACACATTTGCTAATACAGTAAAAGGTAAGATGTGAGAATGGGAGTGAGCAATATGCAGTACTCCAAAAAAGCTGGAATTAGTGACACATTTTGGGAATAGCCAACATATAGTGGAGCTGTTTGTACCCCAAACAGGCACAGACATTAAGAGCCTGCTCCTCAGAATCCATTCTCTTTTGCCCCTAACTCCTGCTACCCATCCTGAAGGAGGGGTGCACATATGACAGGCAGCTATATAGATGTTGTGGGATTCAAAACTTACTCAAAGAGTCCAGGATTATTTCATCTGGAGAAGGAAGTATTTGTGACGTCTCTTCTGTTCTTTCTGCCAAGTTGTCTCCTTGAAGTCTAAATAATTAAAAAATAATTAGAAAGAATTAGAAGTGTGAAGTATATTCTATGGGGGATTGGTACTACTTACACTCTAAAATCAGACATGCTTCTTCAAAGGATAAATAAAATTGTACCAAAGCCTTTGTAATAAGGTATTTTTTGCTATACTACCCTTGAAAAGTCTTTTTCCCCCCCTCTCTCCTGTATACATGGGAAGGCTAGTCTAGGTAGAAATTGCTTTTCTTCTTAGCCTGACTGGAGGACAGTTCACAAGCAAATATTTTCACTGAAACTACAACAAGGGAGAAAGAGGAATAAAAACAAGAGTCTAACAGCATATTCAACTGATTCCTGAGTCCAGGGGCATGAGAAGATTTCCATTCTACACAAATAAACCAAACCTGAGCTAAGGCCAAGGTAAGTCTCAATAGTGGAAGTAAAGATCCCTAATGCATGTGATTTCCCAGGTTCTCAGTCACTGGGGCTTCTTCAGGAGAGGAAGGTTGTGCAGGTGCTTTTATGACAATATATTTCTGAGCCTCTCCATCCACATCTCTATGCTGAGAAAAATAGGCTAGCAGAACCCAATTCAAACAGTCTGGGTTTATATTACACTGTGAACTATGCTATCAAAGGAGGTAGAGTTCATCAATAAATGTTGGAACTCTGTCCTAAGAACAACAGATTAAACTCTGCTAATGTTGGAGGACATTACATCAAACAATCCAGAAACTGGAGTTTTTATCGGTTCCCTTACTTTTTTCTTCTATTTAGCTGAAGGCAAATGCCCTCACTGAAGAATATTAATAAATGTATAACACATAGCATTTTAAAAAATCAAGTACATTTCATAACTGTACCACTCTTAAAAATTAAAATATTCAATTATTTTATATCTTTGCTTTTGTATGCCCCAATGGAATCATGTAATAATTTGCATTTGACTTTTGCATATTCAAACACATGCATGCCTTTCTCTACCTTTTGTATAATAATACGTATTATAAATTATATTTTCATTTGTATTCCTATATTAAATTCTACATGTTTCTGTATATAGTATACATTTATACTTACATATATTCTCTTCTATACACAAACACACATTTGCTAATACAGTAAAAAAAGTAACAGCTAATTAAAGAATTCCAAGGGTAACTTCTTAATAGTTATAACATTTTTTTGGCCAAATATGTGTATTTTATAAATTTTTTAAATTTTTTAAGTTGATATTCAATATTATTCTTTATTTCATATAGAAAATAATGTACTTTACAGAGTGGTAGCCACCTGGCCCACTACTTATTTACTTCTATATTATTGACTCTATTCCCTATGCTGTAATCTACGTCTCTAAGACTATTCTGCAACTACCAATTTGTACTTCTTAATACCTTCATTTCTTTCACCGAGATCCCTAATCCTCCTTCCCCCGCCACACACACACACACACTTTGATAGCTGTCATTCTGTTCTCTGTGTCTATGAATCTGTTTCTATTTTATTTGTTTATTTAATTTTTTCATTAGGTTCCACAGGTAAGTAAAACCATATGGTATTTGTCTTTCTGTGACTGGTTTATTTCACTTAGCATAATACCCTTGAATCCATTCATGCTGTTACAAAGGGTAAGAATTCCTTCTATTATATAGCTGCAAAGTATTCCATTGTGAAAATGTACCACAGCTTTTTATCCACTCATTTATTGATGGGCTATTGTAAATACACTGCAATAAAAAGAGGGGTGGATATATTCTTTCAAATTAGTGTTTCGAGTTTCTTTGGAAATGTTCCCAAATGGCCAATATATAGATGAAACAGATGTTCAACATCACTAATCATAAGAGGAATGCAAATTAAAACCACAATGAGGTATCACCTCACACCTGTCAGAATGGCTACTGTCCATAAATTAAGAAACAGGTGTTGGCAAGGACATGGAGAAAAGGGAAACCTAGCACACTGTTGGTGGGAATGCAGATTGGTGTGACCAATATGGAAGACAGTGTGGAGGTTCTCAAAACATTAAAATAGATTTTATACTTTTTAAATTTTTACTTGAAAAAAAAAAAACAACCCAACTTTTAAATGAATGCTTTAGCTATGTCTCAAATCTGCCCAACTATTTCTTCATTTTTTTCCTAATAATAACTAGAATCAATACTTCACTTATCAGCAATATCAAATATTCTTTTTGGAGCTTTTTTTCTAGGCCCACTTCATAAAAATTATCAAAGATAGAACATAGGTAGGTACATGAGGTATTAAAAGTAAGTCAAAGTTGTTAAACATTTGGGTATTTAATATCAGGTTAAAAACCTAAAAGGAAAAGAAATCTCCATCAAAGGCAGAAAAAAGCAATAAATAAACAAGTTCTGAGATTATTTTGCTCCCTGCCAGCTTCAGTAAAAATAAATATTTATTTAACATTTATTAATATGCTCAATAATAAGCCACATGTTGCGGAGATGGAAAGAAATCACAATTGCCCCTGATTTCACAGAGGCCACAAGATAGCTGAACTGAAAAGACAAGTGGCCATGAAACAGACCAGCAAGTTGGGTGGCCCTGGATCTGGCTCATCCTGATACCTTCAGAGTTGAGTTGACCGTGACCTGGCACCAACTGCACTGCGGAACGCCTCACAGCCTGCTATCCCTGAGTGCTCTGCCAATGCTTCCCAAGCCGTAATCCACACAGCACTACTTCTGTAAGAGGTTAATAGGTGCTGTACAAACAAGGGTTGTGTGGGCAAGTCCAAGAAATATAGCTTAATAAGAGTTCAATCATTTTATTCCCTGCAAGAGTTTTACTCATACCCCTAAACTTTTTTTTTTCCTTTGCTTTCTAAAACTCCTTTTCTGTAGTCAACACGATTCTACATTCTCACCTGCTCAACAAAATGTGTCCTGCTCTTCCTTGTCATAAATGAAACCCTTTTCTCTTCTAAGAATATTACATCCCCTTTTTTTTTTCTTTAAGAGTACAGCTTGCTAAACGCCACCTCAGATAACAAGGGATTATAAACATTAACCTGTTATCTTTCTGCCACAAAAGCTTTGCTCGAGTTTAATGTTTTTCTTCAACTCAAGTATTAGTATTATCTTGATGGATTTTCATGTTCATGTGTATTTATCCACTGTTTCACTTTTTTTAAATTTTGAATTTAAAATTTTTTATCTTTATTGTTGAAAGTATTACATATATTCCTCATTTTCCTCTTTCTGGCCTGCACCTGCCCCCTGCCCCAGGCCTTTGCCACACCACAGTCTGAGTCCATGGGTTATTCATATATGCATACAAGTTATTTGTTTGATCTCTTCCCTCTCACCCACCCACCATCTCTGATATTCAACAGTCTCTTCCATGCTTCTATGTCTCTGGATCTATTTTGTTCATTAGATTCTACATATGAATTAGATCATGTGATACTTGACTTTCTCTGAGTGGCTTATGTTGCTTAGCAAAATACTGTCCCAGTCCCTCCATACAGTCTCAAAAGGTAAGAGATCCTTTTTTCTTTTATTGTTGTATACTGTTCTATAGTGTAAATGTACCACGATTTATAATAGTTAAGATCTGGAAACAGCCCAAGTGCCCATCAGTAGATGAGTGGATATCCACTGGTTTCAAAGTCCCTCCACCTCAGATCTGGATATCTTCCCTCCATTTCACCTTCCCTAACCCAAAGACCAAGAACTCAGAATTGTCCTACGTCAGAAATTGTTAAACACAACGTTCAGTTCTCTAACAACAAACTCACCCTTTTAAGGCCCTTTCACTGTCCCTAACACTTTCTCTTCAATTAGACATAGATCTCTATTTCCTCTAACTTTTCCCCTGGGTATCTGGCTTCTCCTGATTCCCTTCCTGCCCTATTCAGTCTTCTCAGTTCCCATGGATCCTTCTGTTATCACTGCCCAACCAGACCCTAACCCTAACATGTGCAGCTAAACAATGCTGGAGAAACCATGACACTCTTGGAGAGTAGTAAGTATAAAACAAAGGTCCCTAACTTTGAATTTGTGCTTCTTGGTTGTTTTCCTTTCTTCGATTACTCTCAAAGTCTTTTTAAAAAGTCCACCTCCTTTCTGCGTCACCCAGAAAAGTTATGTAATCTGGAATAAAGACCTTCTACTTTCCCTCATATGGCACCTAGAAAAGTCTTCACCTGGACTTGTATTTACCTCTCATAGAGGTTGAGAGGCCCTCTTTCCTATCCAGAGCTGGGGAACCTTTTTTTCTGCCAAGGGCCATTTGGATATTTATAACATCATTCGAGGGCCATGTGGAAAGGCCGTAAGAAGTGGACTGATCTGGATAAAGTCAGTAGCTGGAGCCAACAGTACATCTCATAAATTGGCTTGCGTTTTTGAGCAAAACAATATCGTCATTTTCTGTCCTGAGCCATTGTGGAGGTAAGGAAACTGGGGCGGGGGGGGGGGGGGGGATTTAGTGCCAATTATGTAGAGTTTACTTGGGGAGATGGTAAGTTTCAAAGGCATTTTAGACATGTTGGTGGAGGGGTAAAGTCACAGTTGCATATCCATGTGGAGATGCTGAACAGACGGGGTCCCAGGGTGAGGCTTCCCCTTTCTGGGTTGCAAAATCTCTACACAGAACTTAGAATATGATATTCTATTCTTTTTATTAAAATATGTTTTACTGATTTCCAGAGAGAGAAAGAGAGGAGGGGAGAGGGAGAAAAAGAGAAACATCAATGGAGAGAGATACATCAATCCACAGCCTCTCAAACCAGCAACCCTTTGGTATACAAGTCAATACCCAACCAACTGAGCCACACCAGCCAGGGTGACATTCTACTCTTTAATTTAGTTATTTTGAAGAGTATGTTACTCGATTTCACTGGAAAATAAATCGTATATCATAATGCATGTTGATTAGGTCAGGGGAACCATAATAAACAGTTTTGGTTTTAAGACATTTTGAACCATTATCTTCAAAGGGTTAGAAAATTAGCCTATCTTTCCCCTCCAAAGACTGCTTTTAATTCA